TTTTCCCAAGGAATAAAAGCATTCCCCTCCCTCCCTAACACACATGTCCAGGGAGTGCATGAGTTGTAAGGATATTATCACATGTAGAGCTTAGAATAACATGTGGCTGGTAGCCAGAGCAAGGCAGTCTCCTAAATCAGTTTGGTTGATAGCTTTCCTGAGAGCGTGAGAGAATTCATGCATGTCCTTGTGGGGCTTACAAAAGAAGAGCCATTGCTTTTGACGATGAATAATTGGTGTTCACCTCAACTTGCTTTCAAGGAAAGTTTGAGAGATTGCTTTGAAAGATTGGCTAAAATTTAACATGGGCACTAAGACGTTTTAAATTGGATTCATGATTCTGTCTTCACTGCACTCTGGAACTCTTCAATGGGTGTTACCTGCTTCTAATAACTTCAGTTGTCATCCTGCTCTTTCCTTTCTGACTCACCCACAATACTAACAAAGTTAGAGGTCTCAAACATCATGGAAGTGGTTATTTTTGGTTCAGCACATTAATGTATAAGATTTTGTTTTGATGATGGTCGTATCTGTTTGTAATTTTCCCTTGGCCCTAGTGTGGTGGGGCACATGGCATAGCCCCTGGTCAGCATGGGGCATGAGAATGGCAGCCCATTTGCCTACCAGGTATTCTCCCATGGCAGTTATTCAACCTCTTCAGAGGCTCCTTTTCCACAGTAGAAAGGATATTCAAATCCTTACTAACTGTTCAGTGTTGGTGAGGGGATCTGTACGTCACAGCCCCTGCAGCATGCAAGAGTCTCTCGGGCAAACCTAAGAACTCAGTTAATATTCACAGTTATTTTAGTACATCTTGGATGCTGGAATTTCCATTAGGTGTCCCAGAAGAATCAAATTGGGTAGACTTTATTCACCCAATTTTTCCTTCAGGAAAATCTAGAACAAGCTCCCAGAAAGTTGAATCAACTCAAGAGGAATGCGTGAATCAAAAATGTTTATAACAATCCAGATAATGGAAGGTAAGAATCTGATTCCTGAACCTTGAAATATTTTGCATTCTGGAGTTTAGGGACAGAGGATGATTGGGAAAGACAAAACACAAGGATGGTTTATTCTCACTGCACCTAGCCAGGCCCTTCAAACCAAAAGTGCAGAGTCTGATTCTCAGCTTTACACCCCTTAAGGGCATTCAGTAAATAAGCCCCTTCTTGGTTGGGATTCATGAGGCCAATGAAGGAAATTAACTTGTGTTATAAAGGACAACATCGATGCTGCTAGAAACCATACACTTGGCCCTGCAGACTGAAGGCTTTCAGAGCTTTCCTGTGGCTCACCAAGCTCCACGTTACCAGAGAAACACTCCTTTTGCAACATGTCTCTGTGATCCTTTAGCCTACAGTCCATGTTCACAGGCCAGTTAGCCAGTCTGCCTGTTTCAAGGTCCACCCTCTGCCTCCTTTGTGTGTCGAGGTTGATCTCTAGCTTTCAGAGGATCATCTTATTTCCCTCTTTTTGGGGATCTTTGGCAGGGGGAAGACTTTGACTGTAGCTGGCACATGGGAAAAGCCTCAATACAAAAGGCAAATGTGTACCAAGTTCTTAAACAAAATGTTCACTTCATCCTAATCAATGACCTCCTGTCACAGTATAATTGCCATTGAAATTCTGTATTAATTAATTCTGGGAGCACTCCCAGAAACAGATAGGCCTACACCTAATCATAGGAGAGCTATGTCATTTATTTCCTTTGTCTTATACATAGGGATTATGAAGGTGACCCTGGGAAGGTGGGTGAGCACTTGTCCATTAACCATGACACGACATGCCACAACTGCCCACCTACACCTCTAAGAATCAAGAGGTGCTCCTACCAAATAAACTTTATTAAAATGTACTCTTCTTGATGTTCTTAACTAGCTTTTGCTATAACGGATTTCCTCAAACTCTAATATACTTCTTGCATCCCAAACAAAAACTTGTTTTTACACATCCCTAGTTCAATAAGTAAATTACCTGTACACTTATGCACTCCTCTCCTGCGTTTAGCTACATAAAAAGACATTAATCATGTTCCATAAATAAATAGCATAGTGCTCCTGTCCACTTTCCTCTTGTATTTGTCTGCATGAGGAGTTTTATCAGTCAACTATTGAGAAGTCAGAAACAATCTCTCACACATCTGAGTGCCAGCAGGAACCTTAGGAGTTTCTTCTTGCTCTAGTGACTCATGGGAAATTTATATCACAGTGTCTGATTATACTTTATTTTTTATGAGTAGAAAAATATAAATAATATACACTGTGTCATTTTTATTAAGTATACAACTCAATGGTAGTGAGTACTTTCACAGTGTTATAAAAACATTGCCATAACCATCTCCAGAAGTTTTCATGTTCCAAAATGAAACTGTGTCCCCAGAACAGCAACTCCCATTCTCCATTTCTCCCACTACCTAGTAACCACAATTACGCTTTCTGTCTTTGTCAATATAACTACTGGACCTTCCTGATAGAAGTTTAATCTACAATGTTTGTCCCCTTGTTCCTGGTTTGTATATTTTAGTAGAAAGTCTTCAAGGTTCACCTTTGTAGAAAGGAGTAGATTTCCATTCTTTTTGCAACTGGGTAAGACTCCATGGTATCTGTATAGCAATTTTGTGTATGCATTCATGCAGGTGTAGAGACTTGGTTTGTTTGTAGTTCTGATCATATTTTCTTGACTCTAGGATAAGACAGAGATTCAGAGACAGAAAAATCAAGTCTGAATTTAAGAATCTCCACACTTTTCTGCACAGTGAGAGGGATTCTTATCTGTGGAGGCTGGAGAAAGAAGAGCAGATGCTGATGAGCCTGAGGGAGAATGAGGCCAACTTGGAGTGGAAGAACCATGAACTCAAGAGCCACCTCCTGGAACTAGAGGCAAAATGTCAGAGCTCAGCCCAGAAACTGGCGCAGGTGAGGCTGGAAGAAGAAAGAGAAATTCTGATCCTAAGCAGCTAGAAGAATGGTCAGTAACCATAGGGAGAGTGGGAAGACCTGCTTTCACTCTAATGTGGGCATCAGTGTGGGAATTTAGGTATATTCCACATCAGTACTATCAGCGGAGCTCCATTAGTCTATGAGGTCTCTGTATGTGAAATATAAAAGCACACTTCCCCACAGCATGGTGCTCCACTCTGTAATCCAAGCTAGTGGGGAGGCTCAGGCAGGAGCATCGCACATGTGAGGCAATCCTGGGTGGTTTGGTGAGACTCGGGAGGAAATTAAAATGTATAAAAATGGACTTGGGATGTTGGTTAGTGGTACAGTGCTTGCCTAGAATGTAAGAAACCCCAGGTTCAACGTCCAGCACTGGAAAAAGGAAAAGCCTCTAGTCAGTACAGAGTTGCCAAATGGACAAGTATAGAACTTTAACTATTGCCCCCACCCCCTATATCATGTGCACAGAAGCCAGGCTGTCAGGCTTTCCCATCAAATGTTGTGCCAAGTAACAGATGGTAACAGAGGGGTAGCCCAGCATTTTCTCTGATTTGCTGGTATAACCTTTGCTCTAGAGATATTGTGGGGCCTCTTACAACTGCATAAAGGATGCATCTCATAATGACAAACAGCTGGAGCTGTTAATTCAGGATCCCACAAGTGGAACAGAAGGTCTCACCCTGGGGCTGAAAAAGGTAGCACATCTATTCCACCGACTGTGATGCCTGTTGCCACCATCTTGGTGGCCCAGCTCAGGAACTGTGTATACAGCCAGAGCAGAAGATCTCAGTAACAAGTCATTTCTACATGGGCTCACTCTGCAGGACATCAGGTCCCCGAGAGCCAGACTTGCCAGGAGGAAGCTGAGCAACGCTCCTGCCTGCATCCCCAGCAGCCACAGGCTGATGCCACTGCAGCCATTGATTGCTCTTCCCCACACACTTCTGCTGGGTCACAGCCTCCTGCTGAGTGGGCAGAGGCTCGGTGGGATCATTGCTCCTGCCTCTGCAGCAGTGTCTCAGCCTGGGTTGAGCTCTCATTCCTTTTTGGGGAGTTGTGTTTATAGACGGTGTCTACCATGCCACAGTCCAAGGAGTGCTGAGGCTAGCATACTTCCTTTTGTTTTTCTTCCTTAGAGGATGTGAAAGGCATCTTGTGCAGGTGAGTCCAGTATGAATACAGGAAGGGAGGATCCAGTTGGTCTGGGCTGAATGGAGAGGACCACTGAGGAGTCTCTGCCTCTGCTTCTTCCAGGACTTGTGCTGTGAAGCTGGAAGCACCTGAGGCCTTTTCCTTGGAGGTTCAGACTGTGTTTGGTGCTGCTGAACTTTACAGGAATATGAAGATGAAGTTAATGGGTTATCAAGGTATGAGATCCAGGGATTCTCTCAGTGCTGTGATGGGAAGGACTTCAAGCAACCTCAGGGATCGTGTGGGTATTTTCAGCAGGGCTGCCTTACTTTCCCCATTTAGCATGATCTTGCTGAATTTGTTTTGCATCCTGGGCATATGAGGAAACCTTTAGTTTCTGCTCTGCTCTGTCACCTCAGGCAGCTCCTGTCACTGTTTCCCCTTTGGAGAAAGAAGTGTATTCACAGTTCCCAATATACTGAGTTGTCCTGAACACTAACTGCAATCACACATGAAAACTGTTCTCATGGTGCTTGGCACCGGATGGAGTTAGGTGGAGTAGGATGGATTTTCTTTGGCGCAGGTGACTGTCATGCTTCTTGTGACTGTTTCAAATTCTGACAGGAGTCCAGAAAGTTAGATGAGTATTACAGACCATGTTTTCAACAGTTTTAGGCACTTGCCTTAGACAACACAGGTAAATATGATAACCTTGACAAAAATTATGTTTCACTATGCCAATGGCTTGTCTTCCTGTTCCATTTTTCAGTGCTTGGTTTATTTCTATAACTTTTTCCCATAACTACAAAATGCAAAATCTGTGAAAACGGAGTTTTATTTTGATTATTTTTCCTGCATGAGACCTGAACTTGAACTGTTTTGCTGGCTGTAGTACTCATTTATTGTTACCAACAAAATAGCAAAATTCAGTGTCTTAAAACAATTCAAATATCTC